AAAAAAAATTAATTTTTTTATTGTTTTAAAAAAAAAATAAATCGTTCTTGTCGTTCTTGTAAAAAAAATTTGACTCTAATGCAGATACATGAAAAAAAATTAGCCTGTAGCGAGGTTGATGAAAAAAAAAAAATGACGGTCCTAGTAGAAAGCAAAAAAAAAGACACGCCCATCACAAAAACAAAAAAAAAAGAGGTAGTATACAAAAAAGTAAAAAAAAAAAACAAACAATACCGCATTTTCATTAAAAAAAAATAAAATACAATATATTTTCTGTAAAAAAAAATATGTAGTGAATTTTTTGTATTAAAAAAAAGGTGCGACCAGGTCTCTATTGCAAAAAAAAAATATCTCAATTAGTCGACCAAGCAAAAAAAATGTCGTTGGATGATGGAGACGATAAAAAAAACATGCCTACTCCCCGTCTAAACCAAAAAAAACAAGCACTTAATCGACATATTCAAAAAAAAAGTAGTGGACGGATAAGTCCCGTGAAAAAAAAGTTGAACCAGCCAATTACAGACGAAANTTTTCTGTTCCTCACTGGCAAATGGAAGGCCATCGTAGATATCAAGTGAATCTGGGCCAATACATGTTAAGAACGTCGCCGTCCTTAACTCGTTGCTTTCGGTTTGCAGTCTTGAGGCAATTTCGTAGTTGCTCCATAAACGCTTGAACTTTTTCCAATTCGACGCTAAGTTTCCTTTCAACTCTAGCTTCGGTGGAAGAGGAATTGAGGAGTGCACAAACGTGTGCGAGGGCGTTGTCCCACTGGACGACGGAGTTTCTGTTTCGTTGACCATCCCGATACAGGTTCTTTAGTAATTTGCTTTTGTCTTTTCCTGGTACTTTACTTCTGACACCATGTAACGTTCCTTACACGTATTGAGGGTCTCGAGGGAGACAATGAATATGAGGCGTACTGCTTGGTTGAGAATCACCTTTACTTGAGCTAAGTAAAACTACAACTGATCGATTAGGCTAGGGCTTAGGTTACATAGTTGGAATCGCGTGACTTACAATAATATAGGATGACGTCACACACTTGGTCTCTCCTCAAGGGTGAACACTGATTAATTGAAAATGGTTCGACGATAAGTAGTATAGACGACTGAATATTTAGAGACAAATCGATAAATAACCACAATATAATGTATATAGTAATTAGTAATGCAAAGGATTATCAGAGACTTGATTTAGTGAATAAGACAAGATAGCACATAATGGGATCAGGAGGGGATAATTTATCATACTGACGTACATATCTACAATCCTGGTCATTTTACGCGGGACATTGTAACATGTCACTGTTTCAATTTGACAACATGACCAACACTTGCCACAAAACCCTGCCCCCCGGCCCCCTGTACAATGTTGGGTTCCTATTTTCATTTGATTTTTCATGCTTCAGTACCATGACATAATGAACAACGCCAACATTGACCGAGGGGGGGTGGGGGAGGGACTGTAAGGTAGTGTTGTCAGTAGAATACTAAGAATGTGTGTTTTGTACAGTAACAGTTCATTGTGTCCAAAGGTATATTGTCCATGATTGTAGCTATATAGCATAACTTTACCTCAAACATGTTCAAGTATTTGAACATGACAGACTTCATCAACCCCCTGGAGCTGGTGTTCATTTCTTTCAATGAACCATCTTTACATTCTTTGTCGACCCATTCTTGCAGTGCCTTAAGTCCCTTTCGGGTGCTTTTTGTTTCCTCAGGTGTGAGGCCAGTTGCACCTGAGATTTTGGAGTCCAATTCGGGACTCAGCCCATTTTTTATCATCTGTTTAGACGTCCATGCAAAAACAAAAAAAAAAGAAAAACAATCGTTACAAAAAAACAGGGTAGTAAGGGTAGTAAGCCAGACAGGAAAAACAGCTGTGGAGGAGACTATGAAAGGTTTTTTGGGACGCTACGCCCCAGGCGGTGTGCGCGCTACGACCGCAAGGCATAATTTAGGACTTCATTCGTAAGCATGGCGAATCCGTCCTGGATTAAGGAAGAATTTCTTTATCTTTTCAACAGATTTTGTTCTGATATTTCAATCATGGAGGCATCAAGAAAAATGTTGTGATGCTGAGAAATCCGTGATTTAGTAGAGTCAGCAGAAGTCAGTACTTCGTGCCTGAAGCTTGTCACGCTTCACTCTCGCGGAGATCCATATTTATTTTTTTTAAGATGATCTACAGGTATTTGTCTTGATTATATTGGCTAGCGCCCAGTATTTTGATGGCATAAATATTTTGCTTTGAACCAAAGTTTTGTCTCCGTCTTTACATTTAATGAAGTGCAGTTCTATCAAATCATTATGTACATCCGGGTTACCATGAGATGCGCACATACCGCCGTGACTCAGTGCATGTGTTGGCCGTGACAAGAGAGGACGTATAGATTTTTGAAGAGGGAAACTTCAAGTTTTGAATCGTATAAGGTAAGATAAAGTTAATGTTTTCGGTATTTATTTTCATTTACAGTTGCCTGACTAGGATGTGTCCTGTCAGTAGACTATTTCCACGG